AAAAAAATAGTTTTTCTTCTAATATCCTTTGTTTCAGGAACTTGTTGTAATTGAACATCCAAAAAAGGAGGCTTCTTAATACATACAGCAAGTGCAAGTCATCTATGTCAGAAACTGACTTCAATTCTCTTATTGAACTTCTGGATGACTTACCAGAGCTGGCAGCCTTTGATAAAGATTCCCATGATGAAGATTACATTAAAACCAAAGTAAAAGAACCTGTTAATATCATTGTCGTCAACCTCCCCAGTAGCAGCATTATTACCACCAGATCACAAACTTGTTTCTGTGCTAAAATGTATTGTTCACGGTGAAGACATTTCTTCTTTGCCTGAAAGCATGAAAATTTTACAAGATATGTCTCCAATTCTATTTGACTTGATATCTAAATCGCTGCCATTGGAGAAGAGCACCATCAACTTTATATATTGGCTTATTGAGAAGTCTTTGAAATACGTAGTGTTTAGTGAGAGATGTATTGTTGAAATTTGTTTGGACTTTGTCTTTTGTAGAATAAATGAAAGAGGCCCAAATTCGTTGATAGAATGTTCAATCTGGAAGAGAAAAATGTGTGGGCATGCTTTTTATCCAGAGGTGCGACCCTAATCACCTGAATATTGTTAAAGAGTTACATAGACCTAGGGGACGACTGAAATGCACAGTGAAGGGAAACATCTGAGATTTGCCTGATTAATTAAAAAAAAAAAAAAAAACTGTGTCTGGCTAAGAAAAATCATTGCAATTATCTAGGTATATAAAAAAATCTTGTTGAGAATGTTTCTTAGGACAATTTTGGTTTCCAGAAGCTATTGAAAAGTAACTACTGAATAGAACGTTATTCACAACATAAAAGGCTGGATTTATTTTTTGATAATTAAGTTTTAATTTAGTTTTTCAATAACCATAATTTCACTAAAGGTATATTAAAGTCTATTATTAAAAAAAGAATACTCTCTATATGAAATATGTCAAAAAAAAAAACCTACTCATAATAATAAATAAAAATATAAAAAGCAAGTGCAAATTTCATTAGGATCAACAAACATAACATCATTCAAGTGCCCTCGGTGCAGCCAAAAGTTAAAAACGAACTTGGATTATTGAAATGATGTCAGATAGGGGCATATAGAAACCACCGACGCTAAAAGTCTTCTGCTAACATTTTTATTGATTTCTTTACAAATAAAGGGGAAGTCTAGGCTGAAAAGATTCGGAGGAGAAATATACATTTTTATCAATTCTTGAGGGGTAATTACATTTAATCTTTTCTTCTGGGCTCCCGATAGTCCCCACAAAATCGTGAATTGCTGTGAACATCTTCTAACATGGAAAACATATGTGTTTATTTGGGGTATGACTAATATGGGGATACTTCGACGAGGGGGCGAAGCGACCGAGCGGGGTGGGTGTGGAGTTGTCCCAGGGGCACATCCAGCAATGGAATCCGGGTGGGGAGGAGGTAGTGGCATGCGAAGTGCAAAGCACTTAGATGGGGTGGCGGAAATGTTACGTTTAGAAAGTAAGAGGCATTTATAAATCCATTTCCGCCTGAGCCCTATCATACTTGGGGCTGAGGAGGGAAATACGAGGCATTATTACCTTTAGATAACAGGAAATGACAAGTGTGGATACGTTGGAAGTGAAATTGAAAGCAAATAGGAAGAGGAAGGAGGCCAAAAATGCAGTCAGTGGTCCACATGATTCTTATTATTATTGTTATTATTATTATTATTATTATTATTATTTTACTGTACGAAATTGTAAGAGATATGTAAGTTTTAAGGCATAAAACGTCTGCAGAAATTATATGTCATTTGTACAGTTAATTTCAATAATTTTCATGCTTTTAATTATAAAAGTAGGCCTACAATACATTTGAAAGGTCAGGTCGATATTGTTTTGATTTTGAACACCATGCAGTGAGTGTTAGGTGGGAATGCTGGTGTTTGAGATTTTTGTTAGCAATGCTTGGCCATAACATTTTCAGGTATCGAATCAAATTTAACAATTAGTTGTTTTTTTTGGGAGAACAGTAGGTCTACCTCCCTTTTTTCTCCTTTCCTCGCTTTTCCTCTCCCCTTTTTTAATTTTTCCCTCCCACTCTGTTTTCCTTCTTTTGGCAGACAACCCCCATCGTCCCCCTGATCCACCGTCTGCTTCCCTCCCACAGACGAAATAAAAAGAAAAAAAATACCTGTCTATAAAACACCCCCTTTAAAGAATTCCAAG